GCGTCTTACAAGCTGTTATTAAAAGTAAAAATAACTTCCGTTTCAGTCTCCGTCAATATAAAAGTCTTAAATGCTGACTCGTAAAACAGTCACTTGTTGCCATCTAATGGCGGAACAATGTCACAAAAATCACCATCACGAACACACACACTGTTTCCCAATACTAAATACTACTATGTATATAAAATATTATTTATTGAATAATAAACAACAACAACACCCATCATAAAAGCCATGCTCTAATATACAGCATTAAAGTTACATAAAATATAACGTGATGAGATTTTGCCTTCAGCTGAAATTATTCGCCCTGGAACAAAAAATAGATCAATCAGATTTGAGAACCAAAACGAACTGTTGTATAATATAATATAATATAGGCCTTAATAATGTTGTTGATGTTGCAATGAAAAAAGGTTATTTTTTTCTTATATACATTTAAACATATATTTGGATTAATAATAAAAAAAAAGATTTTAAGGTGAAATATAAGCTTGGCAGTTTTGGTAAAATAAACCCAGTAAAGAACACACCGGTAGTTAGCTCACCTTCCTGATCAATAAATGTTAGTGCTCTTGGGTACAACGCTTAAGTCGCTCGAAGTAATTAGTACATTTAACTGGTCCACAAGCAAATTCAGCAACTAAATCGATGTGATGTGGATCACAATCCATCACTTCACATTAAACCTCATCTGCAGCTGAAAAGGCCCTTTTTTGTCCAGGCACAATTCTCACTACTGCTTACTGTTTATTGTGCCTGACAGACACAAGCTTGTGACCCAACATGCCTCATTACCCTTGACACATACGAGTCAATCTCCAGCAGGCCACAGATACAGAAGCTCATTTCTCCTGTGGCGTTACTAGTACAATATCTCACCGTTCTCAACCAATCAGATTTGAGAACCAAAACGAACTGTTGTATAATATAATATAATATAGGCCTTAATAATGTTGTTGATGTTGCAATGAAAAAAGGTTATTTTTTTCTTATATACATTTAAAAATATATTTGGATTAATAATAAAAAAAAAGATTTTAAGGTGAAATATAAGCTTGGCAGTTTTGGTAAAATAAACCCAGTAAAGAACACACCGGTAGTTAGCTCACCTTCCTGATCAATAAATGTTAGTGCTCTTGGGTACAACGCTTAAGTCGCTCGAAGTAATTAGTACATTTAACTGGTCCACAAGCAAATTCAGCAACTAAATCGATGTGATGTGGATCACAATCCATCACTTCACATTAAACCTCATCTGCAGCTGAAAAGGCCCTTTTTTGTCCAGGCACAATTCTCACTACTGCTTACTGTTTATTGTGCCTGACAGACACAAGCTTGTGACCCAACATGCCTCATTACCCTTGACACATACGAGTCAATCTCCAGCAGGCCACAGATACAGAAGCTCATTTCCAAACGCGACCGTCTGGGCTTGTCAGCCCCGGGGATCAGCTGCTGATAAAGTGCAGTTTTAATGTCCATGTTAATGGCTGAATGAAATGAAGTGGCACAGAGGCCCAGCTGAGCAGGTTTGGCTGTTTAGCTTCAGCACTTACTGCACGAATGTCACTGTATTTTATGATTTCACCATTGACCAATTATTTTGGAGGGCTCTTCACAGCATGAAACTGACATATTTTTCCCAAATAGACTTCAGCATTCCCATTCATCTTAATGGCTGATGCATCAAGTTTTTGCAATCTTTGGGCACGGATGTTTTTTTGAGTCAGTCACCTGAGCTTCACATGCTATCAGAATTACCATAAGAGTTTTCTAGTCAGAAATTAGACATGAACGGTCTCTCAAGTCGTATTTACAACTGGTGAACTTTTAAAGCCTATTTTATCATATATGATACGCAAATTTCTAAGGCCGCTAAATCATCAACATAAGCAAAACCTTACTAAAAAACCTATTGTACACAACCAATTGCATATTTTTGCTCATTTTTAGCCGCTAAATAAAATTGAGATGTTTTTATTACTTCTTTTCCCCTTCATATTCCCCTATTTCATATTATATGTAAAGGCTGATGCATCAAATGAGATACACAACATAAAGCCTTTTCTTTTACATTTTCTATAAAAGGTTCATTAAACTATTCCATTTATAAACATATGCTGTTCTGACTATGATTTCATATTTAAAAGAACTGAACATTTAGGAAAACATCTCCATTTGTGTTTTTAAGGAATAAAGTCATAAAGGTTTGGAGCAACATAAGGGTGAGAAAATGACAGCATTGAGGATTTTTGTTGTTAAACTGGTTTATTGATTTTCCGTTTTCAATCTTACAGATCATTCGATTTTACGGGATTAGAATGCAATCATGAGAGATTAATTTTGTGGAACCGCTAATGTAACTAACAAAAGCAATTCAGTGAGCAAATGTTAACTTTTGGATAAAAGTTCAGATTTTTAATCCCATAAACAAACCAGTAAAAAGTTGGATTTCTCAAAACAAAAGCACATTACAAAAAGAAGAAAAAAAATATCACAGTAAAATGGAGCATCTAGCACAAACCCAGTGAGTGTACAAACACAGAAGCAATAAAAACCAAACATCCACCCTAACATCGATGTTACAAGACAGGGCTTTTACGTACAATCCTGAGGTACTAGAGAAAAGGGAAAACAATTGGACTATTTATCTGTCATTTCCAACTAAAATATGAGCGGGCCAAAAAGACAAGCCACTCGTGAGAATGGAGCATCTCGCTAACGGGACGAGTTGGAACTGGAGCGGGAGCGATGTCGCCTGCGACCCGGAGACCTGGAGCGAGAACGTCTCCTCACTGGCGAGCGTCGCCGTGGAGACCGAGACCTGCGGAAAGGACGAACTGTCAGCTCTGGCAAAGATAAATCACAGACGATCACGCGCTAATGACCTGATAAGACACATAAAAGGAAGTCTGTCTACTCGGTGAAGCACGAGGACGAATAAACAGAAATGCGAGGTGAAAGGACAGATCGGACATTCGCAAACGGTGTGACTGAAATGACATTTAGGCCTGTGAGAGAATTGGATGGATTGGTTCCCATCGACCTGCACAGAAAACACAGCATGCCAGTAGGACTAAAATACATTAGAAAAGCCAACCTTCTCCTCATGCGAGGCGGCGTGCGGCGCCACATGGGAGGCGGAGGAGGCATTCGGCGCGGAGGAGACGGTCTTCTTGGGACAGGTCGTATCCTCTGGGCCAGGACAGCCGTGGCTGTGATTTCCTGACCGTCGATCTGACCTGAGGAGAGTAATAGAGTATTAAACATCCCTTACAGTGAACTGAACTGCAGTCACCTGATTTGTTTTTTTTGTTTTGTTTTTTAAGTTAACCAAGTTGAAAATGAGAAATGTGGCCTTGCCAACTAGCTAAAATATATATATAATATTTTTTGGGGGGTAACACCAAATAATGCATTCATTAACTTAACAATGAGCAAGACATTGGTTACAGTATTTATTCATCTTTGTTAATAAGGGTAGTTAATTAAAATACCACTGTTCATTGTTAGTTAATAGTAGCTCAGGTCCATTAAATAATATGAATAGATACAAATTTTGATTTTAATAATGTATTAATAAATGTTGAAATTAATCATGTTTTAGAAGTATTTTTCATTGCTAGCTCATGTTAAATAATCTATTTGACTAATGGTAACAAATGAACTAGGGATGAATCGATCCGATACTCAGTATCGGTATCGACTCCGATACTCATTTTCTGCCGGATCGGGTATCGGTCAGACGAGACCGATCCAAATCCGATATTCTGCATATACTATTCTGTGTTATTGTTAAGCCCCACGAAAGCACAAAAACATTATAAAGCACCATAAAGTCGAAGTCCAAGTGTTCTGAAGCCGTTCCATAGCTTAATGTGAGGTACAGATTAATATTTAAGTCGTTAAATTCAAGTTCATGTAAGCTCTTCTCTCCGCTGCGTCTGTCTGTCATCCTCCATTCAGCGTTCAAACTGCGTGTCGCGTTCGGTTACGACAGTCAAGACGATGAAACTCTCTCCAAGAGCGCACAGTAACTGAAGTTTAAAACTGTTGAAAGAAAAGGCTCAAACTATCGCACAGATTGAATAAACTACGCATCAATATCCATATTCCTTTGTGCTTTGAACTTCTCGATACGGAGCTGTGCGCTGTGACTCCGTGTTGCTTCAAGCGCATCATTCTGCGCACTGGATGCGCATAAGCGCTTTGTGCTACTCTGTATTGGAGCTTTTCGTATTATATAATACTTTTGCGCAATGAAAGATTATTTATAGATAAGGCTAATTTATAAAGATTATTTATAAGGCTATTAATAATCAAATGTATAGCACAGTAATGGAGGCTGCAACCGAAGATAGAAATGTCTTTTAATTTTATATTTATATATAAATGCATTTACTTGTTTTCATTAATGTATTTTACAACAATACAAAGAGCAATGTGTAACATTTGACCAGATTTAGTCCTACACTTATTCACTTTTATTTGTTCCCCACTAAATAATGTTATTTCACTAAATGTTTAAATTTTATAAAATTGTGCACTCATGATTTTTCTAGAATAA